GAGGAGAAGAAGAAGAAGAAGAAGAAGAAGAAGAAGAAGAAGAAGAAGAAGAAGAAGAAGAAGAAGAAGAAGAAGAAGAAGAAGAAGAAGAAGAAACTTCATCAGAGTTGGAAGAGACCTCAGAGATCTTCTAGTTCAACCCCCTGCTCAAGCAGGAGACCTTACATCATTTCAGACAATCTCTTCTTAAAAACCTCCAGTGTTGGAGCACCCACAATTTCTGGTGGCAAGCGGTTCCACTGGTTAATTGTTCTGTTAGGAAATTTCTCCTTAGTTCCAGGTTGCTTCTTTCTTTGATTAGTTTCCACCCACTGTTTCTTATCTTGCCTTCAGGTGCTTTGGAAAATAAGTTGGTTGTTTTCCAAATAATTTGGAAAATAACTTGGAGCAGAGGAAACTATTATTTCCTCAGATTTTGTGTGTTGTTCCAGAGCAACACCTAGTGTTCAAAGAGGGCAGATCCACAATGCCTGTTTACCACCTGCCCTGTCAACAAAGAAAACTTGATCTTTTGTCACCCTGCAATCCAATGGTGTCACAGACAGAGAACAAAAGCGGCCTGCTTACGCTCTGGAACGGTTTGAATTACAGCTGCTTGAGAAAACCAGCAAAGGTTGGACGCCTCCAAATCAGTGGAGGAAACCTCTAAATCAGTGTTTTCAACCTGGGCAATTGATCATGTATGAACTTCAAGCCCCAGAATTCCCCCAGCCAGCATGCTGGGAGTTGAAATCCACAAATTTAGACCTGCCAAGTTTGCTCAAAAGCATATCACAACGGGATATCAATAATTAACATTCTCTATCGAACAGATTCTGTAGTTTTAATAGTAGCAAAACATAAATAATTTGGCAGGAGCTGGATTTAAATTTTATGCAGCCCCGGGAGAGAATGCAAATTCAGAGTCGCCTTTTTACTATGGCAAGAAAGATATTCTGTAAGGTTAGCCTCTCCCACTCAAAGGCTGCATCTGCAATCCTGTCTCAGCCGTCAGTCCTTCCCAGGTTAGATTTTTAAGATTCTTGAGCTCTTATTTGGAAAGTGTTTTTCTTCTCATCTCTCTGCTCCGATTGCCGGATGCAGTGGCGAAAGGGCCGGCTGAAAGCCAGGCGCAAGCCAAAAGGATCAGAAACTCAACCTATAAACACACCGTGTAGAAACAGGGTTTATCCAACAGAGGGTTGGGTGTTGGTGACTAAAAAAAGAAAGCAGCCAGAAGGATTCGCAACAGGCTCCACGACTCGTGGCTGACGGAGGCAGGCGCATGCAAGGATTCTGCAGAAGAGAACAAGCGAAATAACCAACTGCAACCAGGTACCAATCTTTCTGTTTGCAATAAATGTGATTTGAAGAATGACCTCGTCTTCCTCTGTGGCTTCCTCTGCTCTTCATCCTACTAAAACGCAGGCCATCCTCGACTTACAACATTCGTCTAGTGACCTCTTGAAGTTACACTGAAAAAAGATGACCGTTTCTCACGCTTACGACCGTTGCAGCATCCCCATGATCATGTGATCAAAGTTCTTGGCAACTGACTCACATTTATGATGGTTGCAGTGTACCTGGGTCACGTGATCAAAATTCAGCCGCTTGGCAACTGACTTGTACTTATGACGGTTGCAGTGTCTGTGGGTCACGTGATCCCCTTTGGCAACCTTCTGACAAGCAAAGTCAATGGGTTGTTGTTGTTGTTGTTGTTATTATTATTATTTAGATATCTAAATAATGTATGTCTGAAAGGAAGCTTACAAGTCCCAATGTTTTCCTCCCAGGCAATGAAAAGCATCTCCCCAAACCTGATTTTGGGTGAGTTTGAAGGAATTCACGCAGGGAGAAAATTCAGTTGCATGAATCAAATCCAGACACACACACACACACACACACACACACCCATGTGATTTTAAACGGCATCCTTCTTAAGGTTTAGGAGACACAAGGACATCCAGTTTATGATGTGATTTAGCCTGAGTATGATCTAATATTAGACTGGGATAAAAATATGCCTGTGTTCCCTTCTGTCAGAAGGACAGAGATGTATTTAAAGCAGGGATGATGGCCTCAGGGAAAACTAGCTCTTTGCCACTGCAGAGATTTATCTCCGATAGACGGAAGCCATCCAGACATACATGCCCATCTTCACTGCGAAGATGCTTGATATTAACTGACGTTTCCAATTTTCTATAAAAATAAGGAGGGAAGAGATGAGATTACTGAGTCCCAAGCAGTCGGTGCAATGCTTGTTAAGCTAAAAAAAAAAACCACATGTCCCTGGGAAGCAGTTTTTAGCTGCAGCATGTCAGCTATTCCTCCTTACTTACTTCAAGGCCATGGAAGGATCACTGAACACTGCCTGAAGACAGTCATGGGCTGGAATTGATGAAGGCAAACAAACTGAAATTGTACCCAAGCCTTGTTGGTGGAGAGGAAACCCAGATCTGGGGACTGAAAGAGCAGGCCTGCAACTTGGATGTGCTCCTTCAACCTCACCTGGATTCGCTGGACTACCAGGTAATGTACAGGTTGTGGGGACAAACAATTTTGCACAGTCGCATCGGTGCACCAGCCGCATCGCCTCCTGAGCTGGCTACATCTGAGAACGGTCATCCGGGCCTTGGTGACGTCCTGCCTTGGATGATGGCAATGGGCTCTATGGGGGGGGGCTACCTCAGGCTTCTTGGCAAGCAAGGGATGAGCAGAGTTGTGCAGTATTTACTTACTTACAGTATTTATTTATTAGATTTATTTGTGTCCCGTCTCGCCACAAGGTGACTCTGGGTGGCTTACAAGGTTAAAAGCAATAAAACTGTGTTTGTGTGTGTGTCTCTCTGTGTGTGTATGTGTGCGTGCGTGCACATACACAAACAAGTACACACACACACACATATTGCTATATATAAAATAGCAATAAAATTATAAATTATGCTAAAAAGATGGGAAAGCGGGGAGCAAGGTGAGCAGGGGGTGAGGTGGGGTCCGCTATTTGGCCCATCAACCACCACCGGTGTATGTAGAAAAAAGGGGGACGAACTCATAAGGCAAAGAATTTAAAAACAGGAGGTTTGAGAAAAAAACAGTAGTTTATGTCAACACAGCTCACTCTCCACACCTGCTTTTGCAAAACGCTCCTTGCTTCTGCCATCTCCATCAACAGCTTCCTGCACTGTTTTTGTGGTCCTGTGAGCTTCTCGTCTCTCTGTCTTTGAGGATCTCACCAGCTCAGTCCAACCACCGTAGTCTTGGTCTTTCTCTTTGTCTTGGTTCACTTAACTTTTTCTTCCTATGTTGGTTTTCTGGTTTGATCCTCATTCGTTCTCTCTCAAATCTCCCTGAAGTCCTTCTATCCTGGTCACTCACTTTGTATTCAATCCCCCGATCCTTCAACAACCATTCCTTCTCAGCTCTCTTCTTTTGCCACATGTTTCCATGCTGAACTGGAAGAAGGGCCCCCCTTTTTCCTCCCAAAGGCTAACAAAAAAAGCCATGGAGGAGAAGAACAGAGCAATCTAGAACACTCATTATATGCAAAATGTCATAATTAATGGAAAAACTAATTCTATGTTTCCAGAAAGGTCGGTGGGGAATCATCGCTTGAACACGAGTATAGAGAGCAGCCATGATCAATCTAAGCACCTGTTCTTCCCACGATCCCAGTCCAGAGAGGAGAAACCATTACGAGACCCCAGCCCTCTCCGAATTGCAGAGACTGATATGGACCAGAGGAGGGTCTGACAATCACGTGGACCAAGTGTGGCCCAACCTCTACCTTGGAGATGCGTAAGGAAATGACATAATAAAACATAAAAAAACATTAAAAACTGCATAAATATTTGAATACAAGGTAAATTTAGACAATGATAAAATATTTAACATTCAGAATAACTGACCAGGCGGGGTGGGGCTATGTAATGGGGCGATGATGGCTCTCCAGTTTTCCTCTTTTTTTGATTGACAGATGGGCAGCAAGAAGTAAATCCGTTCTTCAGAGCGTTGGCATCACTCACATCCTTAACGCAGCCGACGGGCCCTACAACATAAACACTGGAGTCCGCTATTACCGGGACCTGCCGATTCAGTACTACGGAGTGCAAGCTTTTGACGGCAACTCGTTCGACATAAGCGTCTTCTTCCACGAGGCTGCTGATTTCATACACAAGGCCTTAAATACTGCAGGAGGTAAGAAGAGATTTTAAAAAATGAGGAATGTGTTTACCAATTATTAAGTGATCTATGTTTAAAAAAATCAATAAAATATATTACCAAAAAAAAGGAGGAATGGCGTCAAAAAACAGGGCTGTGCTTTCAGTGCTGGCTATGGATGCTGGAAGCCTTTGCTTATTGTGGTTCAGGAAAGCTTTTGTGCACAGAGGTGGCTCTTGTGGCCCATCATTGCCAGTGATTATAAAGTAAAAGGAGATCGGTTTAATTCTTCATGCTTAGAATTAGAATTTTCTACACCAAGTAAGTAGGAAAAAGAGGACGACTTGGAAGCTTGGAAAAGCAACACGATTTAAAGTTGAGTTCAGCTTCTGAGAACTTCATGGAGACAGCTGTGCTAACTCCTGGAAGCAATGCAGAAATGGCTCCCTCCCGAAATGATTTTTCAAATCTTCCCAAGAGACCCGACTCTTCAACAGTGGTGGTAATAGTAATAGCAATAGCAATAGCAATAGCAATAATAATAATAATAATAATAATAATAATAATAATAATAATAATACAAAATGCCACATCCAATCTAAGCATCTGGCTGACTGTGCAATCACAATCAACCTCAACCATAATAGTAAAATATGGATTTATTTATCTCTGTCTGGAATAGCAGTTCAACAGAACAAGTTAGAGAAGTATACTCTTCAAGGAATATATTGTGAAACAGTGATATCCATAGGTGGGGTGGGAAATTGCATATGTACATATATACAGTAATGCCTTTTTTAAAAGGGTTTTCTCTCTCTTATTTCCAACTGTTAAAGTTGCAGCCAGTGATGTTTAGAGTTAAACAGAAAATGAAGACATGGACTCTGAAGCATGTTGTCCCGTCCACGTGTGTGATTCTTACAATTTCATGTAAAAAGGAGAATAGTTACAGCCTTGCCTGCCTCAAATAAGATATATATGTTTTGTTACAATTTATGCTCTGAGGCTTTATTTGTCTTGGTTATTGCTGGGCTTAATCCAATCATATATCTAGGCCTACCCAATCAAAAATGTATGGCTATAAAAATCCAGACCCTGTGAGAAAGTAGCAGAGATATACAAAAAACTTTACTCTCTCTAAAACTTTACTTATCTCGATTTTTGTAACTTTGATTGGGCAGCCTTCCACGTATTGGACAACCATTTGTCCAGGATGATGTAAGGTCTCCTGCCTTGGACAGGGGGCTGGACTAGAAGATCTCTAAGGTCCTTTCCAGTCCTGCGATTCTATGGTTCTATATAGTTTACATGAAGATATGATCTTAAACGATATATTATGGATGATTATCCTTTCCACTTTCCTAGTGGCTGGTGTGCTATGCTAGCAGAGTTTGCTTGCTATAAAGAACCAAGATTCAGATTCCAATAATGATGTAATATTAATTTCATGTAAATTCAGCCTGAGATTATTCACCAGACAAAAGGGTTTGGAGAGAGTTTGCAAAGAGGTGTCTGAAGAGTTGGGTGGAAAAAAAAATCAAGATTACGGTTGTGATCGTTCAGTCGAAGCTCCGCATGTTTTTTATGTGTGTCACAACGCATAAAAATCAAGCAAGCTTTGATGGCGCCATCCCAACCCCCTTTTTGATTTTTCTGACCAGCCTTGTGGACACCCCTGGTGGCCTATTAATTGTACACTATTGTACACGATTGTGCATTCAAAGTTGCTTTTGTGATGTCTTTCCAGGCAAGGTCTTTGTCCACTGTGCGATTGGGCTAAGTCGTTCGGCCACTTTAGTGTTGGCATACTTGATGATCCACGAAAACCTGACACTTGTGGAAGCCTTGAAGTCAGTGGACTCTCACAGAGGCATCTGTCCAAACACTGGATTCCTCAGCCAGCTGCGAGCCTTGGACATCAAATTAAACAACGAAAAGAGAGAGAGAGAGATAAAACTAATGGGACAGGGGACTGAATAGATCCTCAAATATAGGAATTCTGCAGAATTGATGATTTCATTTGGAATGATTCAATCACCTTTTACTGAGAAAGAAGACCAAACTCATGACAATTGGCAAAACAACCAGCCTTAGAATTAACAAGTGACTGGAATGGTGGAGAGCTTCTGCCTTTCGGGATCAACCATCAGCAGTAAAGGAAGAAGCAGAGAGGAAATGCACCACAGACACTAGCATTTGATAGAGAGACGTGAATATCTTTGGAAAAGATATTCAGATGCTTCTTTACCTACAAAGATCCGAACAATGCAAGGGAGCACGGTATCCCCTGTGATATTCTGTGGAAAGGAAAGTTGGGCTTTTTAAAAAGCAGGATAGAAAGAGCATCCACAGCTTTGGGCTTTAGTATAGGAGGCTACTCCTCAGACTATCGTGGACAACCGAGACAACAAACAAACACAAACAAAGAAGATAATTAAATACATCAACCCCCAAATAATCCAACTTTGGACACATTTCCAGCTCTCTGGAAAAGGCTCTGATGCTGGGAAAGGTGGAAGGAAAAAGAAGATAGTGGTGATGGATGCACTTTTGGAAGACCTGAAGGATCAGATTATCTTGGTGAAAATTTATCTATGGGATGGCTAGGAGTTGACACTAATCTGATGGCACACAATCAAATCACTTGATATGAATTAAGTCCAAAACTTGATTGTCCTGTTAGTCTTCACCCAGTAAGATTTGATCCACATCAGGAACATCCCAAGGATTCCATCATCATTTTGTCTTTTGGGGAGAGAAGAAGAAGAAGAAGAAGAAGAAGAAGAAGAAGAAGAAGAAGAAGAAGAAGAAGAAGAAGAAGAAGAAGAAGAAGAAGAAGAAGAAGAAGAAGAAGAAGAAGAAGAAGAAGAAGAAGAAGAAGAAGAAGAAGAAGAAGAAGAAGAAGAAGAAGAAGAAG